ATCTTTTCCTAGCTACCATCAGTTCTGGACTGGAGACGTTAAATCTGCTTTCTCTCCACAGATGCTGCCAAACCTAATGAGTTTTTCCAACAATTTCTGTTTTTGTTTCTGATTTCCAGCATCTGCAGTTCTTCTGTTTTCTTTTGTTTAAATTTAAGGAGGAAATGGGCAAATTTTTAATTAGTAATAGGTTGAGGGGTTAGGGAGAGTGTGCAGCAAAGTGGAGTTGAGGCAGTGATGAGATCAGCCATGATCATATGAAACAGCACAGCAGGCTCAAGGGCTAGAATTGCCTACTCCTGTTCCTGGTTCTTATGTTTTTATGTTTTTAACCTTTCTCTCTCACACACGCACACAACCGCACTCCACAACCTCACTCATACATAAACACAGACTCTGGAAAGGAATGTTTCCTCTTGTGAGAGAATCTAGAACAAGGAGTCACTGTTTAAAATAAGGGGCCACCTATTTAACACAGATGAGAACATTTTTCTCACAAAAGGTTGGAGTCTTTGGAATTCTCTTCCTCAAATGGCAGTGGAAGTGAAATCCTTGAAGTTTTTAAGGCACAGGTAGACAGGTTTCTTGTTAAGCAATGTTTTAATCAGGGATGGGTGGGAGTGCGTAAAAAATCACATTAGCCCTAATTTTATTGAATGGCAGAGCAGTTTCAAGGGGCCAAATGGCCTACTTCTTCTCCTAATTTACATGTTTGTAAATGCCAATCAAAGATGTATACTGCACGATGTCTCTTGGTCAAAGCATTGCACAGAGTAATAATAATTCATAAAAGAATTTACTTGAAGACTATAAGGGAATAAGGGGACACAGAGAGCTCCTGTACATTAATAAAGTGAAAAAAATATATTAGTAAGTAAGTCAGGATCTTCTGACAATGTCATAAATCACAAAGAATGGTTCCTACTCAATGATAGAGATTGGTTTTGCGTCTCGCATACTTACAGCTATCTAACAATTGTAATGTGCTTGAGAGATTTACTTATAGATTTTAGACATTTTACTTAGAGATTTACTTAGACATTTTAGAGATTTACTTCCATCATTGTATCAAACCTTTTGGTCTGCTACACCCAACCTTGATACTGTACTGTGACAAGCTGTCGCTGTTCCGTACTGTTGTAGGATAACTAGACGATGGAGTTCTGAGGAAGGGTCACCGGACCCGAAACGTTAACTCTGTTTTTTCCTTCACAGATGCTGCCAGACCTTCTGAGATTTTCCAGCAACTTTGTTTTTGTTCCTGATATTGCTATTCCAGCTGTTAGGAAGGATCATAATATATTGCTCTTATTATTTGGAAACTTGGGTTCTAAAGTGGATGAGAAATGGATTATAGATTTTCAGTTCTGTGAAAATCTGACATTTTAAGGTCAGAAAGTTATTTCAAGCATTGAGTTCAAAACAGCATCTGCAAGAAGTCATATGATTTCAACTGAATGACCATTTAAGCCGCCTGGGAGGAAATTGCTATTGTGTTTATTAATTTGACTTTTAAAAAATTCAAAGAAAGAGGAACCCATGTTAGGCAATAAATAAGAGATAGTAGGAACTGCAGATGCTGGAGAATCTGAGATAACAAGGTGTAGAGCTGGATGAACACAGCAGGCCAAGCAGCATCATAGGAGCAGGAAGGCTGACGTTTCGGGCCTAGACCCTTCATCAGAAATGGGGGAGGGGCCTACTAACCTCATCCCACCCCCTTGACCTGTCCGTCCTCCCTGGACTGACCTATCCCCTCCCTAACTCCCCACCTACACTCACCTTTGCTGGCTCCATCCCCGCCTCTTTGACCTGTCTGTTTCCTCTCCACCTATCTTCTCCTCTATCCATCTTCTATCCGCCTCCCCCTCTCTCCCTATTTATTTCAGAATCCCCTTCCCCTCACCCATTTCTGATGAAGGGTCTAGGCCCGAAACGTCAGCCTTCCTGCTCCTCTGATGCTGCTTGGCCTGCTGTGTTCATCCAGCTCTACGCCTTGTTATCTTAGGCAATAAATAAGCTGAGTTAGCACTTTGGCACCTTGGAGAGAGGCATTAACTGATGAAAATAGCAGCAGGTGAAAGCACAGCAATTTACAAAAGGAAACTCATTACAGCTGTGTCAGCTGAGAAGGATGTTTTGTGAGGAGATACGAGTAATTCCCTACCTATAATTTTTTCGTGGACCTCCCAGTTCCATAAACAGCAGCCACTTGTGGAACTGGAAGTCAATGCCGCGATTGGCATTGCTACACAATTCATCATGCAGGTACCCTCAGAGCACACAGCTGTGGAACTTAGAGGGAACACTGCTATTTACTGAGATTTGAGTGTCAAATCCAGGAACAGTAAGCCTCAATATCAACACCATCTCCCAAGCAAGTCTTCACACACCTTATTACAGCACTGCGAAGCAGTGTTGCTGTTCTAGCTTATAGAGCACATTGGGACAGCATTACTTTTTGTTCTTTATTTGTTAACGGGAGGAGGACGTCACTGGCTAGGCAGCATTTATTGCCCATCTCTAATTGCCCAGAGGGCAGTTCAGAGTCAACCATATTGCTATGGGTCTGGAGTCACATGTAGGTCAGACCAGGTAAGGATGGCAGTTTCCTTCCCTAAAGGACATTAGTGAACCAGAAGGGTTTTTCCCTGAAAATCGGCAATGGGTTCATGGTCATCATTAGATTCTTAATTCCAGATATTTTTATTGAATTCAAATTCCACCATCTGCTGTGGTGGGATTCGAACCCAGGCCCCTAGAATGTTATCCAGGTCTCTGGATTAACAGTCTAGTGATAATACCATTAGGCTATTGCCTCCCCTACTGTTCTAGTTTGTTCTAGCTTGTCAGAGCGCATTCAGTCAGCGTTGCTGTTATAGTTTGTTGGAGCACCATGAGACAGCATTGCTATTCTAGTTTGTTACACATTAAGACAGCATTGCTCTGCAGATAGACTGGTTAGCAAGGTTAGATCACATGGAATACAGGGACAACTAGCTATCTGGAAAGAGAGCTGGCTCAAAGGTAAAAGACAGAGGGTGGTGGTGGTAGGTTGCTTTTCCAACCGGAGGCCTGTGACCAGTAGTGTGCCACAGGGGTTGGTGCTGGGTCCACTGCTTTTCGTCATTTATATAAATGATTTAGATGTGAACTTAGGAGGTATGGTTAGTAAGTTTGCAGATGACACCAAAATTGGAGGTGTAGAGGTTAACTCAGGGTACAACGGGACCTTGGTCAATTGGCCAGTGGGCCAAGGAGTGGCAGATGGAGTTTAATTTAGATAAACGTGTGGTGCCACATTTTGGAGAGGCAAATCAGGGCAGGACCTATACACTATCTGCAGAGGAGATATGCAAGTGTTTCTACCAGAGAAGAGCAAAACTTGAACTTCTCTTGCAAAATAAGACAGGGTAAGTGACTGAAGTGTTCATCGGAGAGCACGTTAGGACTAGTGATCATAATTCTACCAGTTTCAAAATAACTATGGAAAAGAATAAGTCTTCCATAAATGTTAAAGTTCTTAATTGGAGTAAGGCAAATTTTAATGGCTTGAGACAAGAATTTTCACAAATTTATTGGAGTAGGCTGTTTGCAGATAAAAAGACGACTGGTAAGTGGGAGGTTTTGAGAAATGTGATAACAAGAGTTCAGAGACATTATGTTCCTATTAGAGTGAAAGGTAAGGCTGGTAAGATAATGAATAAATAAAGATATTGAGGTTCTAATCAAGAATTACAAAAAAGTACATGTATTAGATACAGACAACTGGGATCAAATGAATCTTTTGAAGAGTATAATGAGTGTAGGGGCATTCTTAAGAGGGAAATCAGGAGGGCAAAGTGGGGATATGAGGTAGCCTTAGCAAATAAGGATGATCCAAAAAGATTCTACAAGTACATTAAGTGCAAAAGAGCAACTAGAGAGGATGCAGAGATCCTTCAGCATGATCTCAAAAGCTGGGTGAGTGGGTAAATCAATGGTAGATGCAGTATAATTTGGATAAATGTGAGGTTATTCATTTCGGAAGCAAAAACAAGAATGCAGATTACTACCTGAATGGCTGTAAATTGGGAGAGGGGAGTGTGCAGTGGGACCTGGGTGGCCCTTGTGCACCAGTTGCTGAAGGTAAGCATGCAGGTGCAACAGGGGGTAAAGAAGGTAAATGGTATGTTGGCCTTCATTGTGAGAAGTTTTGGGTACAGGAGCAGGGATGTGTTGTTGCAGTTGTACAGGACCTTGGTGAGACCACACCCTAGAATATTGTGCGCAGTTTTGGTCTCCTTTTCTGAGGAAGGGTGCTGTTGCTCTCAAGGGAGTGCAGCAAAGGTTTACCAGGCTGATTCCAGGGATGGTGGGTCTGATGTATGAGGGGAGATTGACTAGGTTGGGATGGTTTTCGCTAGAGTTCATATGAATGAGAGGGGATCTCATAGACACTTATAAAGTTCTAACAGGACTGGACAGGGTAGATGCAGGAAGGATGTTCTCGGTGGTGGGTGTGTCCAGAACCAGGGGTCACAGTATGAGGATTCAGGGAGACCATTTAGGACGGAGATGAGGAGACGTTTCTTCACCCAAAGAGTGGTGAGCCTGTGGAATTCATTACCACAGGAAGTCGTTGATGCTAAAACATTGAATGTATTCAAGAGGCAACTAGATATAGGATTTGGGGCGAATGGGATCAAAGGTTATGGGGAGAAAGCAGGATTAAGTTGTTGAGTTGGATGATCAGCCAGGATTGTGAAGAATGGTGGAGCAGGCTCGAAAGGGCTGAATGGATTTCTCCTGCTCCTATCTTCTACCATTGTAGACTAATGGAGTGAAATGACCAGTTTCTGTGCTGTAAATTCTGATAATTCTATTGTGAGTTGAAAGTCAGTCATTGGCCAAAAGCAGCCCATCTTGATATTCATTGTGGAAAACTGAAATGTCAGGATGGAAAATAGATTTTGAAAGAGAAAAAGGAACAATGTCTTTTCTTCTTGGTATCCAACCAGGGACTTCGGAAACCCAGTGCGGATGAGATCAGACATGCCACAAATGCTGTTTTCTGCCCATCCATGTTTGGTAGCTCTCTGGACGAGATCATGAACATGCAACATGAGCACTATTCAGACCGACAGCTGCCATGGGTCCAGACTAGACTCTCTGAGGAAGTGCTGAAACTCAATGGAGCACAGACTGAGGGTATCTTCAGGTAACGCTTGCTGACTGGTTATTGAAATCACAGTTCTTGTAAATCCTCGGAAACAGTTCATTTGCACCAAGATCCTTCTCATATGTTAGCCAAATGGAACTTAGGAGCAGATGAATTCCCTTGAGCTGCTCCACCATTCATGGGTAATCTGTATCAAATCTAATCCAGACTACTACTAATGAACCTAGACTGCAAATGTCAGGAATCTCCTCAAGAGGAGAACTTATGAACAGGGAGCAGAAATAGGCCATTCAGCCCTCGTCTGCTAGGTCATTTAATAAGATCATGACTGATCAGATTGTGACCATAAATGTACATTTGTGATGATCCCTGATAATTTTTCCCTCTCTTCCTTAACAAGAATCTATCTCCCACTAACTTAAAATATTCAAGGACTCTGCTTCTCCCCACTTTTTCAATAAGAGAGTTCCAAAGACTCACAACCCTCTGAGATAAAAAAAAGTTTGCCTAATCCCTGTTTTAAAGGGCCAACCCCTCAATTTTAAACAGTGCCTCACAGTTCTTACTTCTGCCCTAAGAGGAAACTTACCTTGTGAAGACCCCCCTTGATCTAATATATTTCAAATAAGGTGTCTCTTTTTTTAAACTCCAGCAATAACAAGCCTTTCCTCATAAGGCAGCCCACCAGTTTCAGATATTAATCTAATAAAACTTCCTGAACTGCTTCCATTGCATTTTCATCTTTCCTTAAATAAGGTGACCAGTACAGTACACATTATTCCAGACATGGGACCTGTCTAACTGAAGCAAAAAGTTATTATCCTTTTCCTCTTGTAATCAATGACAACATTCTATTAGCTTTCCTAATTACTTTCTCTACCTTTGGATTTGATCACAATCAGATCAGTCATGATCTTATTAAATACATTGGGACACCCTGACCCATCTACAAATCTGAAATCTCTCTCGTTAAATAAAATGTTTTTTTTAAATTCCTGCCAAACGGACAATTTCACATTTTGCCATATTATACAAAATTTGCCAGGCCCTTACCACTCACTTAACCTAGCTATACCCTTTTAATGTCTTCTTCACAACTGATGTTCCTTGTTATCTTTGTGTTATTAGCAAATTTGGCAATCATACCTGCTATCCCTTCAACCAAGTAATTTACACAGATTGTAAACATTTGAGTCCCAGGACTGATCCCTATAGCACACATTCGTTTCATTTTGCCAACCTGAAAAAGCACATTTACGCTTATACTCTCTTAACCAGAAGATCTTCAGTCTGTGCCATTTTACTACCTCCTATGCCATGAGCTTTCACTCTTTGCAGTGACCTTTGATGTGCAACTTTATCAACTGTCTTCTAGAAATCTCCTTAACCAGCAGCACATGTTACCTCCTCCAATCACTCCGATAGCTTGGTTAAGCATGAATTTCCCTTCACAAAACCATGTTGATTCTACCTGATCACCTTGAACTTTTCTAAATGCCTCACAATAATATCTTTAATAATGTTATTAAATCTTTAATAATGTTATTAAATCTTTAATAACATTTTCCCTTTGGCAGGTGATAGCTAACTGGTCTGTAGTTTCCTACTTTCTGTGTCCCTCCCCTTTTGAATAAAGGAGTTATAATTGTTATCTTACAATCTAATGGGAACTTCCTCAAGTAAAGGAAATATTGGAAAAAATTAAAAACTAGTGTATCAGCTATCTCACTAGCCACTCACTTTAAAACCCTCACTTTATCAAGACCCAAACACTTTTCAGCACCCCATCCAACAATTTACTCAGTACCATTTCTCTGGTAATTATAATTTTCCCACATTCCTCGTTCCCTTCCAATTCCTGACTTATATTGTGAGAAGTTTCGGGACCTGATTCTAAGGAAGGATGTGCAGGTCTTCAAGGTAGTCCAGAGGAAGTTTACAAGAATGATCCTGGGGCTGAAGGGCTTGTCATTATGAAGATTGGTTAAGGAATCTGGGGCTGTACTCACTGGAGTTTAGAAGGAATGAAGGGGGAATCTATTCAAACTTACAAGAATGCTGAGAAGCATGGATAGGATAGACATAGAGAAGATTTTTCCGTTAGTAGGAGAGACTAGGACCCAAAGGCATAGCCTCAGAGTGAAGGGACGACCTTTTAGATTTGAGGTGAGGAGGAATTTCTTCAGCCAGAATCTGGGGAACTCATTGCCACAGAGGGCTGTGGAGGCCAAATCATTGAGTGTATTTTAAGACAGAGATAGATAGGTTCTTAGTTAGTAAGGGGATCAAGGATTAAGAGGAGAAGGCAGGAGAACGGGGTTGAGAAACATAACAACTATTATGAAATGGCTCAGCAGACTGTTGGGCCAAATGGCCTAATTCTGCTCCTATATCTTATGGTGTTGTGAGCTGCTTCTGGATATTACTTGTATCCTCTGTATTGAAGACTGATGCAAAATGCCTCTTCAGTTCATCTACTGTTTCTCTATTTTCCGTTACTAATTGTCCAGGCCCATTTTCTACAGGACCTACGTTCGCTTTGTTAACTCTTGTTTTTTAAAACATTTACAGAAACTCATACTATCTGTTTTTAATATTTCTGACCAGTTTTCTCCCATGCCCTATTTTTTGCCTCCTCATTAGTATTTTGTCATTCTTTGCTTTTTTAAAAATGTTCTGCCCAATCTTCTGACTTGCCAGACAACAAGGTGCAGGGCTGGATGAACACAGCAGGCCAAGCAGCATCATAGGAGCAGAGAGGCTGACGTTTCAGGCCTAGACCCTTCATCAGAACCACCTTCATCTAGGCCTGAAACGCCTCTCTGCTCCTATGATGCTGCTTGGCCTGCTGTGTTCATCCAGCCCTGCACCTTGTTGTCTCGGATTCTCCAGCATCTGCAGTTCCTACTATCTCTGATTCTATCTTCTGACTTGCCACCTGTCTTTGAACAATTAAGTGCTTTATTTTTAAGTTTGACATTGTCTTTCTCATTTCCAGTTAATCACAGATGGTGGGTCTGTCCCTCAAAAACTTTCTTACTCTTTGGAATGTATCTATTGTGTACATTCTGAAATATCCCCTTAAATAACTGCCACTGCATCTCTATTGACCTATCGTCATAGCTACTCTTATTTACATTTTTAAAAAGTCTCAGATCCATCCCTCCCCACCCCCCCAAACTGAATATAAAATTAAATCATACTATGGTCACTGCCACTTAGGACTGCCCTTCATTTCATTGATGCAACCTCATTGTACGATACCCCAGATGAAGTATAGCCTGCTCTCTGGTCAGCTTCTGAAGGTGCTGTTCTAAGAAGCTAGCCTCAAAATATTCTATAAACATCTGATCTAGGCTACTTTTGCTTGTCTGCTTTTTCCAGTTTATATGTAGTTTATAATTCCCACAATTATTGCTGTGTATTTCTGACAAACCTCCTTTATTTATTCCTCTATACTCTACCCTACCATGTCATTGCTGGTACAGGGTCTGTACAACTCTTCAACATATGACCTCCTCTTTTATCATTTCTCATTTCTACCCAAACTGTTTCTGAGCGCATTGCACTCTGTTGTGATTTTTTTCATCATTAACTAACAATGCCTCCCCTCCAACATTCCTGTCAGTTCTAAATGTCCTTCAAGAGTCGAGTCTTAATCTGTGCAGCCATCTCTCTGTTAATGGGTCATACTTATCCGAGCTAATCTCAGTGTCCTCCTCGCTCGCATTTCTAGCAGGGATTATAGACTGGAAGCTGGGAGCAGTGACCCTGGTCAGGTTTGCTCTACACACCAAGGGGAGCTGCAACAATAAGTTTATTCTCAATAATACCACATAAATTCATTTGATATTGACGAAATGATATGAATCCTTATATTGCCTTTACAGCAAAGAAACAGGTCATTTAACCCAAACAATCATAAGCTCCACACATCAGACTCCTTCCATCAATTCTTCATTTATTGATGTAAATTTCAGAAATGTATTGACTAGTTTACGTACTTTCTAATCAACTTGTACAGAGATGTTGCTACACACCTCTGGAGCAGGTGGGGCTTAAACCTGGGGCCTCCTGGCTCAGAGGTAGGGACACCATGACTGCACCACAAGAACCTATCATTGATTAGTTTAGGAAAATTATTGAAATTGACTAACACTTTCCAGAGATTAGAAGCAATCAACAGAAGGGTAAGAAAGAGACCACATTATACAGCTGTGTCTGCCCTTTCGAATGAAGCATTCCACACAGACAATTCTCTGATGCATTTAATGACCTGAATCTACTAAATAAATACAGTTTCTGTTTCAGGAATTTGTAATTGCTCTGCTTTCTGCATAATAGATAGCATACGTAATCTGGACCCCATTATACAATTAATATCTTTAGAGTGCGTTGTTTGTAGATGATTGAGTACTACAACAGTCACAGTTCCAGTAGGCCTTTTCTCAGGCTATTTAGCTGATCCTTGCTGTATATTTGCAAGCAAGGTGGTGAAATTAGGACTTTTTTTTACATTGTGTGACTGTGAAGAAACCAGCGGTGACGAGTTTGTTGTCAGTGGTGATATTGGATAAGCATACCCATACTCCATTTCATGTACCCACTCCCACCCAGCGACTAGAAATTCAGTGAAAGTGCCAGTTGAGAGTACAGTTTGAACTTCAGCTTTCCTGGACAAAACTAATACCCCCCTCCCCCCAACAAAACATACGCTCTCACATTCTCATACACACTCTGACATACACACACACCCTGACGCATGTATACAGAAACACATACAATCTCACGTTCACAAACTCTCTCTCTCACACACACTCCCACACACACACTCTGTCATGCACACACTTTCTCGCATACTCACACACACACCCTCTCTCACAATCCCTCTCACATACTGACTCTCACACTCATTCACACTCACAATCTCTCTCCCACTCTAACTCATTTACATGTGCACACTCTCTCCCACACACTGTCTCACACACACACACACACACACATGCTCTCTCACACTCTCTCACATGGTCTCACAAAAACTTTCTCACATACTTACTCACACACTCATTCACAGTCACAATCTCTGTCCGAGACACTCACATTCATACATACACACATTCTCTCTCACAGAAGACTGCGGAGAAATGGGGGAAACAACAAAACACAGACTCTCATTGGGTTGCATTTTGTGGTCAATAACACTGAGCATGAAGAAGACTGCCCACAGATTGAATTTATCTGACTCCCAAGGATAATTGTGTAATTGACTTCCAGTTTGTCAATCTACAGCCGTAATTAGACTATTAAAATAAATTTCTATTTAGCTCACTTATATGTCTTCCAACAACTCAAAACTCTTCTTCAGGTAATTAAGTGCTCTTTGGTTGATTGTCAACATTGGTTTGATGCATTCCCAGAAATTTTCAAAGAGAAGAAGAAACATTTTTTTAATGACCCTAGAATTTTTGACCTGGTGCTTACAGCAAAGTTCTGGAGATTAAAGGTTGATCCCTGGAGATTCCAAGAGGTTGACAGTAAATTGGCACCTCAATCCATCAATATTAGATCGAGGCAAAGGCTTTGTTATGATCCCAGCGAATGGAATTACTCGTCGAATCAGAGCTCTGAATAAAATCTGGCTTGATAGATCAAAACATTTGTTTTTTTTGCCATTTTCATTCATGTGATAATCATTAACTGAACCACAAGACTGCCAACATTACTTTTTAAACAAAAGAACACATATATGTTAAACCATTTTCTAATTATTAAAGTAAACTAAAAGATATACTTATGTAAGACAATTTGGGAAGGTCCCAACATAAACAGCAAAAAGAAAAATTCAGCATTTTCCTTGTAATATCCTTTACAGATACTCAACCCCAATGGAGTAATACTCCCAGCTTACTTGCTTACTTACTAACAAGGTCCCAACATAAACAGCAAAAAGAAAAATTCAGCATTTTCCTTGTAATATCCTTTACAGATACTCAACCCCAATGGAGTAATACTCCCAGCTTACTTGCTTTCTTACTAACAAGGTCACAAGCACTTCCTTTCAGCAACTTGCTATACATTCACCAAAAGTGATTCTCTCCATTGCTGTCTTTCAAGATACACAGACTTTAGCTACTTCACTAATTTTGCTAACTGAATTTTAAGAATTCCATCCACTTAAACTGCTAGAAAAATTTTAAGATGTCTTTCTGGCTCTGAAAGTCTGGACTGCGACTAACTGGAGTGCCCTACTGCTCATTTGAAATTGTTCATCTCAATTGAAACCTGACTGTGGTCTGTAGCTTATCTTTCTATCTATCATAAAACCTCCACTCTAATAAACATGTCATCAGTTATCTCTCCAGTACAGGGGGTCCCCAGTCAATGAATATGCCATGTATGAAGGCTTGTACTTATGAACATGATCCTATACATAGTTGTAATTTTAAAGACCAAACATTTCCTGTACATATAAATGGCTCCTTTACATTGTCCTATGTTGTGTTTTGACTTGTGTACAAATTGATTTATGAATGGACTCCAGAACAGAACCTGTTTGCAGCCCAGGGACCTCCTGCAGTTTATCTAGTCATTTAGCTTAAGTCACACACTTTCTGGGAAATTGTTTGAGCCTATTGTTGAAAAATGACTTTGACGGCTTACAACAAACATGTCCCATTCCTAACTAAAACCAAAAACCCAATTACCTCTACTTTAAAGTTCAAACTAACCAATGATAATAAAATATTGTACACCTTTATCTCAGCTGCTGGTGAGGGAGAATTCCTACAACATACAGCAGTTGCCCTGTTTGCTTGTTTCCAGTTCTGCACAGGCCAATTGGCCTCATTGGTCTCTTGTTGACTGATATTGCAGAAAGCCATGACACTCCTTCATTTGGAGGAATGAGTCAGTTGATTACAAGATGGGTAAAAGCATAGAACAGGGACAAAGAGAGGTTTGTGGTACAAACTGCTTGCTGACCAAATGACTGTGAATAACATTAACATTGTCACTGAGTCTTGTGTGCTTCATCTGTCTCTGCAGAGTTCCCGGGGATATCGATGAGGTTAATGCTCTCAAACTTCAAGTGGATCAGTGGGTTATTCCACAAGGGCTGACAGACCCCCATGTTCCAGGTAATGCCATTTGCTGATCATAGTCAGGAGGATGAGAAGAATAAAATCTATTGTTGCTTATATCTGGAGTGGAGTTTTTAGCTGATTACCTGTGAAAGGCATACCAGCAGTTATATCACATCCTGCCCCTCTCCTTCCCAGCCTTGCCCGATTAGGCCTGAGAAATTAACCTCCAGCTTCTTCCCTCAAAGACGAGTCGGTATCATCTTATTTTGGTTAGATTGGTTAAAGATTCTTACAAAAGCTCAGAGCTGTAAGGGATGGTTCATTCCCATCTACTAAAAAGAATATTCTTTCTCCATCTCCCCTGTGAGATCAGACCGGGAACTAAAGCTTATTTATTTTAGCTATTTTCTTATAATATCTATCACCTCAATCATATTTCCTTTCTTTGATAAAAAAAAGCTTCTACTTGTTGCCTAATGAGAAAGGTTCCAGATTTAAATGGGCCAAATCAGTCTTCGTCCCACTCCTAAGTAGCTCTCAGCATGAGGGGTAAAATTTAGCTCAGTTGTGATGCTTCTATCCCAAAGACTCTCCGGGCCAGAAGAACAACTGGTTGGGCATCCTGAGGAATTATGTCTTAATGTAAAGTCGTTGCATTCATACCGAGGGAGGAGAAAAAGTTGCAGAAGAAGTAAACAGACTACGCTTCAAGAAGAGATTGTATTGCTAGCAATCAGTGAGAGACCATAAGCAACAGCTTTAAAAGTCAGAAGACCGATGATGGGCCGCATGTTTTCATGTCACCCTACAATAGACTAGAGTTGAGAGCTTTGATAAAGGGGTGAACTGAAATATTACTGTTCCTCTACTCAAAATGTTGCACTGCATACAAAGGTCATGCTTTGATGTCATTCTAACAAATTAAATGTAAAGCAACTTTTGGCACATGGTGCCCCATGAGACGCTATTAGTGCAGCAGGAATTGTTTTAACATTTGAAGACATTAAGCAACCGCACTACTGCTACAATTTGTTAGGAACCTGATTAGAATTCTTGCTGAGCTTCTGGTGCTCACTTCCAAAATAACCCTTTCTGTGCCAGAAAAGACTAACTTTCCTTTTTGTGGAATAGTGCGTGGCAGCAGCACTAGTGCCAGGGCATTGCAAATCTGTAAACCTACCCATCCCTTTCTGCAGAGTTAGCTTTGGTCACGTGCATCTCAAACAGAGTTGAAAAACAAAAGTTTCTGGAAAAGCTCAGCCGGTCTGGCTGCATTTGTGAAGAAAAACTCAGAGTAACATTTCGGGTCAGGTGATGGCTGAGAAAGTGTCACCGGACCCGAATTGTTAACTCTGATATTTTCTTCACAGACGTTGCCAGACCTGCAGAGCTTTTCCAGAAACTTCTGTTTTTGTTCCTGATTTACAGCATCCGCAGTCCTTTCGGTTTTCAAACAGAGTTCACTAAAGTGGAGTAGGGCTGCTACATTTAAACTTATTTCTGTGGGTTAGTGGGGTGGGTTGGAGAAAGCAACCAGGCTGGACTGAATAAAGAAGGAAGATGACCATGCATTTATGTTGCAGCTTTTAATTATTTCAGAATATCCTCGAGCTAATACAATACTTTTGAGGTCTTTTCACTATTGTAATGTGGGTAACACAATGGCCACTCATTGAAATAGCCACTTCTCAAACAGAAATGTAACGATCACCAAGTAATTTGTTTCAAGTGATGGTTGGTTGAGGAATAACTACTAACTAGAATACCAGGGAGATCTCAACTGCTCTTCTTTGGTTGTGTCATGGAAACTTTTTTTTAATTCATTCAAGAGATGTGAGTGTCACTGGCTGGGACTGCAATTATTGCCCATCCCTAGTTGTCCTGGAGAGTGGTGGTGAGCTGCCGCCTTGAACTGCTATTGTCTGCTTGATCTAAGTAAACCCACAATGCTGTTAGGAAGGGAGGTCCAGGATTTTGACCATGCGACACTGAAGGAACAGCAATATATTTCCAAGTCAGGATGGTGAGTGGCTTGGAGGGGAACTTGGAGGTGGTGGTGTTCCCATGTATCTGCTGCCCTTGTCCTTCTAGATGGAAGTGATCGTGGGTTTGGAAGGTGCTGTCCAAGGAGCCTTGGTGAATTTCTGCAGTGCATCTTTTGGATGATAAATATATCGCTGTTCTCCAATATCACTGGGTCAAATTCAGGAACTCCCTTACTAATGGCATTGTAGGTTACACCAATTAGATTGCAGCAGTTCAAGAAGGAAGCTGTATACCATCTTCTCAAGGCCAACTAGGAATAGGCAATAAATGTTGGTCCAGCCAGCAATGCCCAAATCCCATGAGTAAATAGAAAAACCGGCTAACCCAGCGACATTACCACAATGCCACCACCACCCTCTTAATAAGATTAATCAAGAGATAAGTACATGATGTGCGATTTGTAAGAAATACCAAAGGATGCTATCACAGCTGATGCTATGTCTGCCCTTGGCAAGGGATTTTAAATGAGGAAATGGCTATGGATTTAAAGGCGTGTGATGTAGAAAAAAGATTTTCATTTTACAATTTGTAGATTTGGCAACCAGATTGAGTCAGTCAGCGATAATAGTAGTGAAGATTTTTTAAAACTGTGGATAAGGTAATGGAACGGTGCATAGTGACTGGACTTGGATCACCCAGTAAAACATCTCATTGATAATAAGGGGAGTCCATTGCTGATGAATTTTAAGATTTGAATGCAACAATGAACATATTATGAGCACAGCCTTATAGCAACGGATGTGTAAAACAAATTGTGCACTGAAAAATCAAATGGTGCAGAAAATGTTGGCAGGTCAGCCTGCAGTAGCTCAGTTGTCCATGAGAGGAATCCACTGCAGATGGTTAGAGGATATAGTCCATATCAATCAGTTTTTGGTAGGAATCCTAAAGTTCCATCAATGATAAATGACCAGTCCCAGCTTGGGAAGCAGGTAGTTTTACATCTTCAGAGCATTTGGAAGCGCTGCACACAGGCAGTGAGGCTTACATTAAAGCCAAGGTCCCAGAATGAATTTGCCGAGCCTAAATACCGAATGTAAGGTCATTGGAGCCCAGTCTTAAGCAGGGAGACCCCATTTATTATAAAAGAGAGGGACTTAAAGAATGGAGAGGCCCTTGGTAAAGGCAAAAAAAATTGTACAGACTAGGAATAAGACCGTTCAGGAGCTCACTTAAAGTTGGCTAGGAATGCATTCCATTTTTACAGATTCTAAAGGAGTTATGGAAAGCGACGAGGACCCAGGTACTTCTCATAACCAAACGTTGCTCACCTCGGGGAACCAGGCTGTCACAATTGACAATTTGTCTGATATAGGACAGTTCAGTTCTGACAATAAAAATTGGGCCATTAGTCCCAAAATGGGGTACAAGGGTTTACCAAAAGGGGGTAATAAAGTGAAAATGTTTACCAGAGCGGCCTGGTCAATTGAGAAATGTAACTGATGTAAGTAGAGGAAGGAAACCCATTAAAAATATGGCAACTGGATAAATGTCCAGGATGAGGGGCTGGGGTTAGACCATGGATTAACAACTTGAAGTACAAGAATAGAAGACAAGAAAATATGGTGTGAGCTTTGACAGTGCCTCTGGGAGCAAATGTGCCCGTAGAAAGAGATCTTTGACCAGATCCTGTCAGTAAAATGAGGAGGTCTTAAGGGAAAGTAGCAGTCCAGAGAGAGAGACCCAGCAAGATAGAGAGAGCAGCTCACCATGGTCAAGGAATACAGCACAGACCATAAATTGCCACCAGAAACTCTTGCCATCATAAGAGACATCATGAACTACAAAGTTGGAGAAAACTTGTGTGTATCACAGAGGTGCCCGATAGCCCTGAGACATAGCTGGATATGTTCAGAAACAGTGTCACCTGATTGGGTTTTGAAGACGAAAGCAAGGCTAATGGCTCAAGATTTTAAAGAAAAACTGGGGATCAAGACAAATCTACGGCTGGAAAAATAATGGTGATGATTTCTTTTGGCTTTGTTAGCATTGAGTCCTTGGGAGCATTGATCAATTGATAATAAAGCTGCATTTGAGCAGGGATTGAACTCAAGGGAAATGTTTCTTTGGTTCCATTGGAGGAACCGAATGCAGTGGGGGCACTCTGGTATTAAAAAAGTGTGTTTATGGCCTAAAGAATTTGTTTACTTCTTCAATAGGGATTTGTGAGCGTGCAAGTTGAAATAAAATCTGACTAGGAGAGTATGTGCCTGGACACTCTAGGACTAACCTTTAACCTCTGGTGTTTAACATGTGATACTCATCAAAGAGACTGAGGGCCACTTGCAGTGCCACCTCCCAGTCAGGAAGCTCAGTACCTGTGTGTGAAACCCTGCTCACAGACCTGCCCCAC